CATCCACATCCATGACCACACCAACAGCCATGACTCCATCCACATCCATGACCACACCAACAGCCATGACCACACCAACAGCCATGACCACACCCACAGCTATGACTCCATCCACAGCCATGACCACACACACAGTCACGACCCCATCCACAGCCATGACCCCAACCACAGCAATGACCCCATCCACAGCCATGACCCCAACCACAGCCATGACCCCATCCACAGCCATAACCCCATCCACAGTAGTGTTAATTTTAGCAGCCATTTTTAAATTTAGTTTTAGTCTTAGTCCAGTTTCAGCATCGTTTGTTAGTTTTTATCACATTTAGTAGACATCATCGCATTTTTATTTAGTCTAGTTTTAGTCGACTTAAGTCAGAGCATTTTAGTTTTTATTTTAGTCCAAGAAAACATAATTTTATTAGTTTAGTTTTAGTCAACAAAAACTGTTAACATTTTAGTCTAGTTTTAGTCAGGACATAATTTTAACCTTTTACTTTTTTGTCAGCAGATAATATTTAACATTTCCTAAAATTATTTCACATTTCAACATGATAAAAAACACAATTTTAAGGAACACATGCAGACATGGAAGATGTTCTGACAATATTTGCATATTTATTTTGAACATTGTTAAGGTTCAAAGTCACAAACACAAATGCTTGCATTAAAACAAATAAAACACACCTGGGAAAGGAAACAAATAAATAAAATAAAGTGTCTTATGAGCTTAACACAAGTGCTGGATGTTTAAAGCTAGTTCACATAGAATAATAAAATAAATAGATTTGAGGTCAATGTTGTTAAAAAAAAAAAAAAAAAAAAAAAAAACTCCAACTGATAGAACAAAAGTGCTTTCCTTCCAGCTTTAGCTGGCCTGTCATTGTTTCTGGGTGGCTGGTAGGTGGTTGTTGTTGTTGTTGGTGGTCGGTGTATCTTTAATCTGGAACAGAAATTAATACAATGTCAGGATAGATGCACAGCATAACAGGAATTCCAAGTGTATAAGTAGCATATAGGTCTGTTTTTTTCCTTAACAAACACTAAGTCTCTGTAAAAACTACATTTGACCATCCATTCCAAACTCATACAAACAACCTAACTATCATTTAATGCAGGAATAAATTGCAGACATTTTTAGGTGTGCATGCATTTTGGTTGTATTAATATTGATGCCAATTCAAATCAAATGTCCTTGTAATAGTAACGTGCAGATAAACAGAGCAGCATTTTATGTCACCAAATAAAGACATCCCCGCAGTGGTTCCCCTAGCAATGGCTATTTTGTGTATGAAAATCTAGGTTAAAGTTGTTCTGAATTATGTGTGGCATATTATTTTTATTTTGTCTTATCCTGATAAATAGTTTCAGTTCGTTTTAGCATTTAGCATACATGTGTAGCTGCCGAGGTGTTTTCTGTTAACTATAGTTCACTTGCAGCTCCTAGATTACCTAAAGCGTCTGTCTGCTTTAATCAAACTTGCAATTTAACTGAAACTATAGTTGCCCGGCCAGTATAACATATCTAAGTTAGCATAAATTTAACTTCACAAACAATGCTATCAACAAGTGGCTACGGTCGCTACGTGCTAACAAGCTAACGTAACGTAGCCAGCCTGGATACTAAATGCTATGAAAGTTAGCCAACATTAGTTAGTTTATCATTGGGACATTATAGCTGTTGATTAATGTTACATTATAAACAACCACCACCAATCTTTCTGTTAACTTACCGTAATGTCTTTGTGTTGAACTGCGACGCGTCTCTTCAGGTTTGTTGTGTTTTTTCCAGCTACCGTGTGGCCACATTCCTTCCCTTCCACTAAAATCAAGCATTTAGGTTTGTTCTCCACTTAAAAGCGAAAATGTGTCCATATAGCACGTCTCCTCTTTCTCCCGAGCCCAAGAGTAGGATACTCTGTGCCGCCCGCTCCAGGTTTGAAAGTGGGTGTGTGGGAGCTGACGAGGAGGAGGCGGAGGAGGAGACGAGACAGGATTTAAAAAAAAACATAAAATAATAATATATAATTTTCGTCTCGTCTTTGTTCGTGAACTAAAATGTCCATAGATTTTAGTCCAGTCTTTATTTACCGAACTGCATTTTCGTCTCGTCTTTATTAGTCCACGAAAATGATTTCTGATTTACTCCCAGTTATTGTTTATTAGTGGGGATTTTCGTCTCAACTCGTTTAGTTTTCGTTAACGAAATTAACACTAATCCACAGCCATGACCCCATCCACAGCCATAACCCCATCCACAGCCATAACCCCATCCACAGCCATAACCCCATCCACAGCCATGACCCCATCCACAGCCATGACCCCATCCACATCCACAGCCATGACCCCATCCACAGCCATGACCCCATCCACAGCCATAACCCCATCCACAGCCATAACCCCATCCACAGCCATAACCCCATCCACAGCCATGACCCCATCCACATCCACAGCCATGACCCCATCCACAGCCAAGACCCCATCCACAGCCATAACCCCATCCACAGCCATAACCCCATCCACAGCCATAACCCCATCCACAGCCATGACCCCATCCACATCCACAGCCATGACCCCATCCACAGCCATGACCCCATCCACAGCCATAACCCCATCCACAGCCATGACCCCATCCACAGCCATAACCCCATCCACAGCCATAACCCCATCCACAGCCATAACCCCATCCACAGCCATGACCCCATCCACATCCACAGCCATGACCCCATCCACAGCCATGACCCCATCCACAGCCATAACCCCATCCACAGCCATAACCCCATCCACAGCCATAACCCCATCCACAGCCATAACCCCATCCACAGCCATAACCCCATCCACAGCCATGACCCCATCCACAGCCATGACCCCATCCACAGCCATAACCCCATCCACAGCCATGACCCCATCCACAGCCATGACCCCATCCACAGCCATGACCCCATCCACAGCCATGACCCCATCCACAGCCATGACCCCATCCACAGCCATGACCCCATCCACAGCCATGACCCCATCCACAGCCATGACCCCATCCACAGCCATGACCCCATCCACAGCCATAACCCCATCCACAGCCATGACCCCATCCACAGCCATGACCCCATCCACAGCCATGACCCCATCCACAGCCATAACCCCATCCACAGCCATGACCCCATCCACAGCCATGACCCCATCCACAGCCATGACCCCATCCACAGCCATGACCCCATCCACAGCCATGACCCCATCCACAGCCATGACCCCATCCACAGCCATGACCCCATCCACAGCCATGACCCCATCCACAGCCATGACCCCATCCACAGCCATGACCCCATCCACAGCCATGACCCCATCCACAGCCATGACCCCATCCACAGCCATAACCCCATCCACAGCCATGACCCCATCCACAGCCATGACCCCATCCACAGCCATGACCCCATCCACAGCCATGACCCCATCCACAGCCATGACCCCATCCACAGCCATGACCCCATCCACAGCCATGACCCCATCCACAGCCATGACCCCATCCACAGCCATGACCCCATCCACAGCCATGACCCCATCCACAGCCATGACCCCATCCACAGCCATGACCCAATCCACAGCCATGACCCCATCCACAGCCATGACCCCATCCACAGCCATGACCCCATCCACAGCCATTACCCCATCCACAGCCATGACCCCATCCACAGCCATGACCCCATCCACAGCCATGACCCCATCCACAGCCATGACCCCATCCACAGCCATGACCCCATCCACAGCCATAACCCCATCCACAGCCATGACCCCATCCACAGCCATGACCCCATCCACAGCCATAACCCCATCCACAGCCATGACCCCATCCACAGCCATGACCCCATCCACAGCCATGACCCCATCCACAGCCATGACCCCATCCACAGCCATGACCCCATCCACAGCCATGACCCCATCCACAGCCATAACCCCATCCACAGCCATGACCCCATCCACAGCCATGACCCCATCCACAGCCATGACCCCATCCACAGCCATGACCCCATCCACAGCCATGACCCCATCCACAGCCATGACCCCATCCACAGCCATGACCCCATCCACAGCCATGACCCAATCCACAGCCATAACCCCATCCACAGCCATGACCCCATCCACAGCCATGACCCCATCCACAGCCATGACCCCATCCACAGCCATGACCCCATCCACAGCCATGACCCCATCCACAGCCATGACCCCATCCACAGCCATGACCCCATCCACAGCCATGACCCCATCCACAGCCATGACCACACCCACAGCCGTTGGTTGTTTTCTTCAGGCTGAGGTTTTCAGTCACTAAGGGACTGGAACTGTAAACCGACAATGAAGACTTGGTCCACTGAGGCCCGACCAGAAACTATAAGACCAGGGGAAGTTCTAGACAGCACCATCTTGTTTAAGCCTTGAAATGCCATATTTTGAGCAAAAAGCCCTCTGTACATGGTGGCTCTCACCCCAGATCAAACCCATAGCATCCTTCTCTCACTGAACATCCATGTGTGTAAACTCTGTGACAGCAGTGGATTGCTTCATGTCAGCGGCCTTCTTCTTTTATTTCTGTTACACAATTTACCTTTTTCCTTGATTTTGATAACAGGCTTTTTAAGCAGATTCTAAGGGCAATACCAAAAAATGAGTTCAAGCAATTTCTGCTGCTCAGGATTCATGAAATCTGCTTCACATTGTTCATCAGAGCGTCTTTGATCCCAGATATGGTGATGAAGTGGCTGAGGTTAGGGTTAGAGCTAAACCAAAGCATCAGCAGAAATCTCTGGAAAGTCCAGTTTTCTGTTTATTGTTGCCATGCTCAGAGAATGTATGTGGCCCTGTTTTTGTTATAATGTGGGGACAATTTCCCAGGAATGGGGGGGGGGGGGGGGGGGGGGGGGGGGTTATGGTGTGAACTGAGTTTAGGATTAGTTATGTTTGCTAAGTTCAGCAGTGACACAGCATGTGTGTGTGTGTGTTCACCACAGGTCCTGGTGAGCGAGGACTCTGATGGAGAGGGAGTGGTGGCTCACTTTCCAGCCCATGACAAACCGATATCCTGCATGCAGTTCAACGCCAGCGGTAAGTCCTGACTCCGCCCACTAAGAGGCTAAGCCGCAAGACACTGGCTGTTCATTCCTGTCACAAGCTGACTAATGGAAAGTTAGGTGGAAGGAAAAATGATGTAGGAAAACGTGAAGAAGGAAAACTAAAGCCTATAAATGAAGGTAAAGGAGTTAAAGGGACTGAAGATGAAAGAGACGGATTATATTCTACACATTTACTGTGGGACCTTCTTAAAGCAACAGCTGACAGTTTGCCTCTTTTCCTTTAGCTATTAAAATACCTCAGATAATTCCACTTAGCAGCCATGCTAATTGACCTCCTGCTAACTGTTGGTGCTGCTAGAGGCAGTTTATATACACAGATTTTATATTTTACGATTTTTTTAATTATTCAAATATTTATTAATTATATTATATGTTTATTTATTAATTGTATTATATGTTTTAATTATATTCTATGTTTTTAAGCTCCTAAGGGAGCTTAAAAACATAGAAACATACAAAATAAGTCACTGAAAAGGTAAAGTAGCTTTACAAAATAAATTTATGAAATAAATAATTATATTACATAATAAATACAAAATCTTGAAATATAATAATATAAGATAAAAACATATTTATTTTCTTTTATTTCATCTGAATTTCTATTTATTTAATAGAATATTTATTGAGAAATGTATCAATAGCAGTATTTATTTATTTGATTTTAAATAAAATGTCTCTCCATAAGTTCCAGATTCTTTAATCTGTCATAGAGGAAACTTTTAACCCTTTTCTTGCTGTTTTGGTCTTTATAGGATGGAAACTTCTTTAAATCAATCCCTCCACCCGAGCCAGTTAGTCGAAGCAGACCCTCCACATCCTGGCTGAATGGAAAATAAAACTAAAATCTTTTTTATTGATCGTTTCTTTCAAACCATAAACCTAAAAGTGGCATAAAGTAATCTGACCTTTAACCTTTACTGCTTCCCTGAATGACTGCAGACGCATTAGAGCGACTCAGATGGAAAACTAACGCTTTGTTTCTCTCTTCGTCTTCCTGGTTTATACCGAATAAAGTAAAAAAAGAGGCGAATCCTTGAGTGACGGCGAGCGACCAGATGAATCCCAGCAGAGATTTAGAAACCAGTTCGCCTCGCTCTGAGTCACCAGCTGCATTCATGGAGAAAGTTATTGAGAAGGAGCCACAGATCAGAGGCTTCTCTCCTGCTCAGCGTTTGTGAGCGAGTTAATAAAGAAGCTGCTGAGGGACGACTCTCACCCCCTGACCCCCCCCCCCCAGTCCAGGAATCCTGAAGTCACCCAGACTGCAGACGAACGGAGCAGGAAAAGGATTAAGATGTGGACAAAGACTGATCCACATGGCTGTCTAGACTCGGTCCACAATCAGAGACGCCCTCCAGGTCAGACCTTAGCGCTGCGTGACCACACCCAGCAGGCGTCTTTAAATGTTCGAATGAACTGATCAGAGACTGAAAGCTCCATCCTCTCCATTCTGACCCCTCAGATTAATGAACACTGAGATAAATCAGTGCTCTGAGATTCACCTCAGTCACACTGTAGATGGACAAACATAGGCGGTAATTAGATTACATTATTTATCTGTAATATTACCGGATTTTTATTCATTATCAGTTGTAATTGTTTTAACTTTATTACAAATTAACTGAATATTTATGTAAAAGTCTAATATTTGTAGCTATTCTTCCTTCCTCTGTTATTTTCACCTTTTTCCCTTCCAGCTATGGAGCTGGAATTATAAAATGGTTCTATTCTGTTTATTTCTATAGCAGCAATCTGCAACACACTTCATCTCAGGTCATTTTCTAGATCCAGATCAACCAGATCAGCCAGTCAGGTTCTATCTAAGAAAAAGCAGCTGATGGCATCCAGGTAGAGATGGTAGAGAGATTAGAAAAAAAAAGAGATCTGTCTCTCTCTCTCTCTCTCTCTCTCTCTCTCTCAGGAGTATTTTAGGTTTTCCATGATTTCCAGGAAGGATCATTTCGGCACCTGACGGGTTGCTCTGTTGAACTGCTCTCCTTCCACCAGTGGCTGATAGGAAGCTGTGGTTGAACTGGTGCTGTTAGAAAAAGATGAAATTAGTCAGAGCAGGTCTGGAGAAAGAGGAATAAACCTTAGCGGCGTGTGTTTTAGTCTCCTCAGGGTGAAGCGGAGGCTGCCAGCTCTTGGTGTGGCGCCTAGCACTCTGCGGCGTTTCCTTGGATTTGTGCATCTATTCCTAGAGGTGTAATTAGAGGGACGCACATGAAGTGCTCCTTTAACAGCTGCACTGTATGTTCTGTTGTCCTTCGCGTCTCGTCCTTTCTAATCATCCTCAATGATCCTTGACTTGATTATCGGGTACGTTGCCAGTTTGAGAAATTCCCCGTGTTTCCATGCCAGACATGTTGAGGATCTGCTCTGACTAACTGGCACTAGGTGGAGTGATTGATTCAGCCTTCAGCCTCTCCTCTCTGGCCTCTTCAACCTCTGCTGCTTAGTTCAGGATTCCCAGCTCAGACCAGCTCAGATCAGCTGGAATTCATAATACTTAGTTTCTAAAATCCTTCTTCCAAAAATGTTTAAAAAATCATAATTTCTGCTCTTTGCTTCAAACTCCTGTTTGAAGCAAACATCATTTGTTTAGATGTTTCTATTTAAAGTCATGAATCAGTTTGTTTGTCTTTAAAAACATTTGATTCTCCATCAATGCTTTTGGGGAAGAATCGGGCAGAAAGGTTCAGGATGAAGCTGGAAGGTTTCATCTCAGCATGGTTTTAATGTGTGATTGACCTGCATGAAGGTCGACCTGGACGTCATGGCCGCTCTGGCTTCTGCTGCCTCGTTTGGACGCCGCTGGAGTTTTATGGCGTCTCTCAGAGTATTCTGTTTCACAGCGCCCCCTGGTGGTGCTGGTTCAGGGCTGGACCGTGAACTCAGCGGGCGCTCAGAGCCAGAAAGTCATTCAGCGTTGCTGTAGTGATGAACTTTGAACTTCTGGAGATGTTATAGAAGTAATCCAGCTCTGCTTTTAACACCCTCATGTGACCAGCTTCAGCCTCTCCGTGGCGCTCTCGTCCGTATGACTCTGGAAACTTCCTGTACTGATGGAATATCTGTTCACTCTATAGCTACGTTTCCATTGAAATCTGAACAAACAAATTCAAGGGTTTAACTGATGGAGAGAAATCTGATCAGCGATGAAGTAGAGCCCAGACTCCGCCCCTCGCCATGAGTTCAGTCAGCATCTCCTACTTCAGCATTTTTCTGAGAAAGGTTTTCAGATCGAAGCGTTTGTCCATCCTCATCCTGTCATTACCTTCTTCAGTCTCATAAAGCGTATTTGTTCAGCCATCCCTCCTGTTCTGAATATGGAAGGATATCCCATCAAAGCCTGGGGTCATGGCAGATGAATCAAGGCTGGATTTCTCCCCACACCAAACTGTCCCATAAACCATAGTCCTGGTTTAGTAACATGCCGGCCTAATGAATAGCTGTGCCTGTCGTGTCTGACCATGGAGGCAGCTGCGCCATGAGGGAAGCTATCCACGGTGTAATAACTCTGTCTCTGCATCTCACTGATGTGTGAAAGAACCAGGCGACCGACGTGCACATGTTGAACACGAGGGGAATTCCCACACACAAGCGGCCTGACGCAGCCACAAGCTGCCCGCCACACATTGGGCTGGATTGAGCCGTGTCTTCACACCAGTGCAGTAATTAGCACTCACAGCTGCCTGCCTGTGATTTACTGTCCCTCCTCTGCAGGGACGGCAGCCGTCTTCTGGAAACACTGAAGCTTTCTGTTCATCAGGAGATTTAGTGGAGCAACAGTTTGATTTAGACGCTGCAATAACGGGTTACGCCCTGAGGCGCTCCGTCCGTCCGTCCGTCCGTCTGTTCTCATCTCTAATAAAGCTACGATCATAAACCACCTGGACCCAGAGAGGTTTTCTACAGGGGGCGCTATAACTTCAAAAGACACGTATATAAATAAACAATTAAATGTTCACTAAGGCATTACATCAGTATATTTACATCAATGCCACCAACTAAAAGCAACATTTATAAATGTTCTGCAAACTGCTTTAAATCAGTCTTAGCTGTCTTTATCCATGCTAGATAAGATCCTGACGTCTGAAAATGGAGGCGGGGAAAGCAGGATAAAGCCTTAGCCTCGCTGCATGCAGTCTTTCCATCCAGGAAGCTTTTTCAATAAAAAATGTCAGAAATAGCGTTGAGCCTGCAACACCTGATACTGGCCTAAGCCTCTGAAAGGGGGAGTCGTCATTGTTGGCCTGGCTGCATGGGGATGAAGGAATCAACTGAGTCCATCTCTCCTTTACTAAGCGACGGACCTGTTATCCCGGTTCAGTTTGCATGTTTGGAAACTTGGAAACAAAGTCCAGTGGTTTGTTTTTAACTTTTTGGAATGACTCTGACCTGGATGACTGAGAATCTTCACCATAATATCATCCTGATCCGGTATCCTGCCTGAGGAGACATTACTGCCTTCCACTGCGTTCATTTAAAAACATTTAAAAAGCCTTAGATGCTGATTTGATTTGTTTTGTCCTGTTTAAAGGTCTAAACATCATTGCATCTCAAGATCTTTTTGATAATCATGAACAGTTGAAACTAAAACAGACTGAGACGTTCCTGATTCTCAGAGGGAAATGAAATAAATAAGATGAGCTGTTCAGTGTCTCTGTTTACTGACCAGCTTCTAGTTTTTAGCTTGTGGATTGGAGCATTTAATCTCTGCTGTTTCAACTCTCTGTGAACTGCTTAGAAAACATGTTTGTTGTTGGGAACAGCCACCTTGCATGTGCCAGTGTGCCGTAGAAAGCTCTGTTCTTAAAACAACCCCAACAGGAAGTGTGCAAATATGTCAATGCTGGATCAAACTGGACCTAAGTGGAGTGTTTTCCGCCAGGCTGATGAAAGACCAAACCTTAGAAACAGTCATGCTTTGTGAACTCGACCGCTGCAGCGCCTGCATTTTTCTCAGCGCCGCTTTAAAGCCCAGCGACTTCTGGCCTGTTGCAGCGGCCGACGTTCCAGCATTAAAATATCAAACTAATGGCGGCCTCTCAGCGAGGTTGGCCGCAGAAAAACATCCCTATTAATGTGTGAGTGCTCACAGGTGGGCCGCTGGTGGAGCGCAGAGAAAAACACAACCCTTGGTTTCAGCCCGCTGTACATGTAATGAAGCATGGCCGCCCCCACCTCTGCAGCTTTCATCAGTCAGAGAGACAAAGTGCCGCATATGCCAGAACCTTTGGAGGTTAACGCCAATAAGGCTGTTTGGACTGTCTAGATCATGCATCCAGATAGATTATTTACATGTGATCAGAGCACATTTTTACCAGCATTGTTTCCATGGCTAACAGAGCATGTTAGCCATGTTAGCCCCCCCCCTTTCAGCACGGCCTTAATGGGACACAGTTTGATCTTGAAGCTGGGATTAAACAGTCATCCAGGGTTGGACCCCAGGATCCCTCGCAGGGTACCGGCTCCCGGCTCTCCACTAGAGGAGCAGTGGCCTAGTGGTTAGGGCGTAGAGCTTGGAATCCAGATGTTCAGAGTTTGAGCCCATTCCCATAGTCTGATAAACCAGATTAAATGGTAGATTAAATGTGTAATCTAATCTGGCCCTGATAGACGAGACATGGGAAGATTGTTGATGGGAACAACTCGTTGTCTTTCAAACCATGTCTGTGCCTATTGGCCGACGCTCTGACCAATGAGATTAACTGACTGTGACGTAGGAAGTGTCACAGGAAGCTGGTGGGAACAAACAGCCTGTGGGTAAAATGGCGAATACGTCCTTCTATAAAATGAACGAGCGTAGCGCCTCTTCCTGCTCACGTTTCCACGGAAACCCAAAGTCTGATCCTTCCAGAACTGATTCCAAAGCTGAGTCAAACCAGAACTGTTCAATAAATGCTGCCATCTTCCTCATTGTGTTTTCTCCAGCATTGTGCAGCTTTGTCGTCACGTCCTCAAACCCCGCCGACTTTGCATCCAGACATTCAAAACACATCTCTGCGTTGTGATTGGTCGGCCAGTTCTAGGGCCTGGAGCATTGATCGAGGCTAGACCACTGCAGGGGAAAATGATTTTGGCCGCTGGCGGGTGGGGCTAGTTTACTAGACTGCTAATCCCACAGCCTGCCACTCTGGGTCCCTGAGCAAGACCCTTAACCCCCACACTGCTCCCCGGACACCGCTCAATGGCAGCCCACTGCTCCCCAAGGGGAGGGGTTAAACGTAGAGGTGAATTTCGTTGCTCTGTACTTGTGACAGTGGAATGACGATAAAATGCTGTAAAAAGCTTAGCCAGGCTGCCATCCATTGTTTTATGGCTCTGCAGAGCAGAAGGCCTGGTCCACACCCACCCAAGGTGGTACCCAGAGTGAGGGCCAGAGGAGCCGAGGAGGCTGCAGGACGTCTGACGCCTGCATAGAGAGCAAACCACCACTCGGTGAATGCATGTCGGCCCACTGGTGCAGAGCAGATGTTTTCTGTTGTGATTGCCCGGGGAGGGACGCTACAGCTAGCAACAAAACAAAAGACTCCTTTTTGTGTGTGAGGGGGGGGGCAAACATTTATGGAAGTGATTATTTAATTTCCCTGCTGTTTCATATGTATGCATGTCTCACACATGGCAAATTAGAGGTCATCTCCTCCATCACAGTGTGTGCCAGCAACCTTTAGCCCTAAATCTTCCCAAATAGCTCGGTGAGCTCCAAGACAAGGTGTTATAAATAGGATGTGTCAAACCGTGCCCTGGCCAGCCTGTGGTTTCCCTCAAAGCCCGTCTTTTCCGCCGCCAAGTGGCTCAGCTACTTTTTAATTTGGCCTTCCTGCGGCCTAACCGACTGACGCCTTTGGTGAGCGCATCTGTATTTCAACACTGCAGCAAAATCCCCATTCCTGGGGCTCTGACACTCACCAAGCTGCAGCTTTGCTGAGCCCCAACTCCATCGTCAACAGAAGAGAAACGCCGGCCCAGACCAGAAATCAGCAAGCAGAGAGCCAGAGGGCTAGGAGGGCAGGGCTTGACCAAAACAGAGCAAAGGAAGACTAAAAGAAGGAGCGGAGCGTGGGTGAGGGAGGCTTTGAGAGCCAGAGGAAGCTCCCAGATAAACAGACCGCAGCGCCTCCATTCCTAATCACCCCGCGCTTCCGTTTCCAGACTCTATAATTAGAAGGGCCCCGTTCCTTTTTTCTCTGGATCCCCAGTTGACGCAAATGCTTCTTGTGGCTTGGCACCTCGTTTGGGGTGTGGGTTTGAAGAGTTTACAGGCCCTGGGCCTTAGCTCTGCCTCTCTGGTCGCTGTGATACAGCATGAAAAACTAACCACCGTCCTCTGAGCCCCCCCATTCCACCTCTGCATCATGTTGGATGGGGGGAGAATGAGTTAGCTAAATGTGTTAGCTGTGTAATGTTTCTTTTTACGGTGTTTTCCATCCACTATGCACATCTCCCCCCCTCCAGCCTCCTCTCCATCCAATCGATGGCCCATAATGAAAACTGCTCAAACAGGACTGACGGTCCCAGAGGAGCAGGGCTGATCCTCTCAGTACTACCGGAGTCTCCAGGATGGACAGTCGTCTCCCTCTGGGTCTGAGCTGGGCTAGCCAAACCAGTTCAGAGCCGGTTGTTCTGGTGTGGTTTGCTAAGCATGTTGTTTATGGTGACTTTCTGCCGTTTGACGAGTCTGAACTGTAATGGGGCCAAATGAATGAGCCCGTCGGTGCTGAGCTGTGGTTCAGGGTTTCTCTGGTTCTCCGTGTGCGTGCACACAGCCGGCAGGACTCCTCATGGATAGATGCTGCACCGCTCTCTGTTCCAGATGCTTATCATCCTCTGCAGCCCTGCACTTAGCCCGACCCAGCTATCAAAGCTGACTTTTATGACAGCAGCTGGTTTAATGGACATGTTTGTTTGCTTTAAAGGCACAATTGCTCCGTCACACTGTCTGCCATCTTTCCTGCTGCGCCGCTGGTCGCTGACTTCATGTGGTCCGAAGCAGAGAAGAAGAACCTCCTGACTTTCTGATCAACGCCTCCTTAGCAAAGAGATTACAGCTGATCGTCATGTCAGAGAACTTACTGCTGCTCAGGCTGGTACCACATCTGTTGGACCTCTGATGTAGCTTTAGTTTGGTAAACTGACAACAGATACTGAGGTGCATAATAAGTTCTTTTATTTGCCAGAGTAACTTTTTACTTTATTACTTTGTTGAAGTATCACAGTTCTGTAAATTGTTATATGTAGCTGCTGAAGATCAGCTGGAGGCCCACGGGCCGGATGTGGCCCGTCACAGGCTGCCACGTCGGACAGTAGAGGAGTAAACAAAGCGGCTAAAGCTGCCAGATGAGTCCTGATGCCGGAGCAGTTTGTGAGGTTTTAGTTTCCTCTTTTAAAGACGTGATGAAACGGCTCCCGCCTACAGGAAGGACTGAACCTCAATGTTGAATAAAAGGGATTAATAAGAATGTTTCTTCTGCCTCAATATGTCCTTTATAATAATAAATAATTTCTATTGCCTGTTTACATCATTTTAATCAAAACAGAATCCAGAAGTTATTCAGTTCATCACTAGTTTTCATTTCAGTCATTTATTGATTATTCTTGTTTTACTTTAACTTGAGCAAAAACACGCTGTAGTAGTACCTCTACCTCCTACCATAAGATCAACTTCATATTTCTGCTGCATTAAGTTTCATTTATATTTAGGAACCCCAGTTTTCAACAGTTGGACTAAAACTACCTGATTTTGAAGTAACTGTGACATCATAGACCGACTCGCTACTAGCCAGTAACTGAAAGAAGGAATTAGTTCAGCAGACATGAGTACTGACTCCTCATATCGGTTATTTCTGAGCTGTTCCAGCTCCACCAAGTCCTCTGCTGTGCTTTCATGCCTTCCTTTCTCCGCTCCGCTGCAGCGTGAAGCCCAGAGGTTCTGCACAGAGCGGCTCGGTTGAAGCCAGAGGTTATGAGCAAGTTGGACCCAAACAGCTCCATCCATTGACCTCTGATGCCCAAATATTGATCTTTCTCCATTTATATTTTTTACAAGGAGAATAAAAATTCCCACACTATTAATCCCTTATTAAGCTATCCTCCTTAAGCCTGTTATCGACCCCAGCTCGTATACGACCTTAAAGAAAAGACGGTTTCCTAGATGGAGGTGTAGCTGATGCCGTGTCCTGATTGCAGGAATGCTTCTGGTGACCGCGGACACGCTGGGCCATGACTTCCACGTCTTCCAGATCCTCACCCATCCCTGGGCGTCCTCGCAGAGCGCTGTCCACCATCTCTATACGCTGCATCGTGGGGAGACTGAGGCCAAGGTCTGACACACACACTAATCCACTGCTCAGTTCACCAAGCAGGCAGTTTTTCAGCAGCTAGCTTAACATTCAGATCCTCTTTTAGCATCTTTAATTCTTAGACACAACGGAGGAGCCTGGTGTCGACCGCTGTTCTGTTTGACCAACATGACGGGGGGGGGGGCAGTGTATGTCACATTTAAAAACATGAGGAAACAAAAGCTTCACGCTCAGTTATTCCGTTTCTCTCACTTGGAACATTTCTCTAATAAATGATGTTAAATCGAATGTTTTTTGTAGAAGTAAACATTAAAGACATTTCATCCCAGCGCTGCGTGTCCCGTGACATCATCAATGACCCCTCACCCCCCCACCATGGACTGTTCTCCCTGCTGCCCTCTGGGAAGAGGCTTCACAGCATTCAATGCAGGACCAGCAGGTTCTGCAGCAGCTTCTTCCCCACCGCCATCACACTGATTAACTGTTCTGAAAACTCTAAATCTCAGACTCTGCATCACACTGATGACACCAAACCAGCAATACTGCAGATCTGCACCATAGATATTAATGCTCTGAACTTCCAGTTTTTATCCTGAACTGTTTACATTTGATCACTGCTGCATTTTATGGAATGGAAATGTTCATTTACTGTCAGGAAAGCTGCGCTAAATGACATTTCGTGTTTCATGTCTAGGTCATTTCTCTATGAAAACCCTAAAAGAGTTGAAACGATTATTGAGGTCTGGGAGGCTGGTGATTAACTGAATAATAAACAATCATTCCAGCCTCTAAATAAGGTCAACATGCCCACTTATATTCAGGAACACATGTGATGTTATGCAATAACTTTATATCAGGAAACGAGTGCAGCGCGAAGTTCAGCTGGGACGGTGACGTCATCGGCCGTTAAAAAAAAATAATTCTATCTAAAAAAGCAAACCATAGTTTTATCTGCAGAAATGAAGCAGCTCTGAAAAAGTAGGCTAGATCATTTGGATTCAATTCGGAGCTTAAGTGGGGGATAGTTGACCTCTGGGTGACCTAAAAATGTATGTTTAATATCTCTGAAACAACAGCAGCATATGATTTTATATTTAACTTTTATTTATTTTTTTTATTTTTCCTAATGACCATTTTAAATGCTTAAACCTGCTCTAAAGAAGCAATAACCATTCAGTCTATATGCTGAGTTTGTATGGTGTCAGTGGGGTGTCAGCTTCACGCAGCTGAAGCTCCTCCTACCTGATGATGCGTTCCAGGATGGAAACACTGCATCTGAAACGCAGAGCGATGAACTACCTGCTGCAGGAAATCACTGCGGCGTTACCGTTCATTTTCTATCTCTAAGGTTATTGTTTTTGTTTATAGATGTGTGCCTCAGCACATTTATATATATCAATATGGGGAAATTAAAGGAATAAAAAGGAAATCTTCATTTTCAAATATCCAGTTTCAGAAACTCAGGTTTTGGTCATTGATGACACCCGCCCTGCAGGGGGCGATAATGAGCCTCATGCATCAACATTTATCTTCCTTTTCCTGCGACCAGCGCGTCGCATCGGATTAACAAACGTCAGTAAATAATCGTGGTGAAGCGGCTGCAGGCCACCTGTGTGTTAGTGAGGCGCGTTCTGAGAAATAAAATCTGCAGAATTACCGTCCCGATTAGAGACTATGAGTCAGAAAGCGTTTATTGATAGAAACAGCTTTAGAGACGAAGAAGGAAAACTTTGAAGGGTCAAAGGTCAAGGATCTGCTGACTGAGAGGCCGAGCAGGAAAAACCAATCAGTGGGAAATCAATTACCAGAGCTGAGAGTTTGGACTGTTACAGGAAACTAAAATAAAAATAGTAAAATGATATAAAATAGAAATCATTACTGCTGTCCATCTCCAGAGCACGTCTGCCATCCCTTCATCATCGCTCCATCTCTCTCTGACAGAAACATCCAGATGTTAACGGATGAATTCAGGGCCAAACATCAGGATTCAGTGTGAGAACAAAGCCAAGCAGCCGCCATGGAGGAAAGTCTGAGAAACATGGCGGCCGATCAGCTGAGGCAGACGTTCTCTCTGTTCCACCCAGCAGCAGAGTTTAGTGATGATGGACAGAAACAACCATGAAAACCATGAAACTCTGGAACCTAAACATGTCTGTTAGTGGTTAGTTTAAAAAAAATCACTGCTTTGGTCAAAGAAATGATTTAGATTTAAAATGACGCATCGACCTGCGAAGGAGTCTGGTTTTCCTGCAGGAACCATATTTAGCATTTAAAGTTACAGCTAGATTATAAAGCTGTGTAACAAATAACTACTAATAATATCCGCCAGCAGAGCTGTGCGCCTCAGAGACGGACTCTTCCTCACAGTCATCCACCTGATTCACACCTGGAGCTTCCTGTCAGGTTATTTATTAGGAGCTGCTTGTTGGAGCCTTTCCCCGCTCGGCCATCAGAGCCTCGGCCTGTTTGTTGGCGAGACGTCAGGAAACATTTGATTCTATCTGGGAAGGAAGGATGTGGCTGGTTAGGATTTACCCAGAGAGCTTCTCTCCAGAGTACGGAGCAGAAGACGAACAGAGGGAGCGTTGTTTCAAACCCCGACTGAACCGCTTGGAGAGGAATTCAACACGACGCTCAGATGATAATAGTGAAGTCTGAATCCTTTTAGTTCCAGGGAGGCTCTGCAGACAGATGTTTGTGTGAAACATTCAAGTTATAAATAGTTTTTCTGTCTCCAGTTGTAAAAGCAAACTCTACAACAAACACGCTTTATGTTTCTTCCCGTTATCAAAAATCAGCACTGAGTGAAAGTAGAGAGCAGCTATCTAAGGCAAACACTGCGCTCCCACCGACAGCTTCGACTGTGGCATCAAAGATCTTACTCAACAGAAGTGCTTCAGGCCTTGTTGGGTTCAGGATTATTGACTGGGAAAACACACAGCCTCTCACAGGCCGTGTGCAGCTCGGTCCGCTGACCGCCTGCACACTGAGCCGGCTTTGATGTGAGCCGCCGTAAACAGCCGCAGCCCAGCGCCGGGTCCAGGGGTTATCACCGCATGCTCACTTCTACGCACACAGACACAGTGGAGAGCGATAAACTCTGCAGTTAGGTGGGTGGAGAGACGCCTTATCTGTCTCCAGCAACCAAACATGCGAGTGGCTGTCAGTGACCCGAGGCCAGGCAAACAGACCCGCTGCTGATAGCGGCTGGAAACGGGCTGAAGGCGCAGAGCAGCTTCAGCTCATCCTGAAGGTTACAGAGCGACTCCTTCTCTGTAGCTCCTGGCTGCAGGCCTGAAACATCAGCTGGAAAGCAGGAGGAGCGCCGCTGCTCTGTCTGACCTCTGCACAGCATTTAATCATCGTTCAGAGGAACAGGGTGAGCAGCTCACCTGTCGTCAGGTCAGAAATCAGGGAACGGCGGCTCCTAAGGTCCCTCCAACGCATCAACATCTCCTGTTCTGCAGCTTTTCGATGCCTCCCTGCTGCGGCAGCTGATCCCAGGGACTGAATTACCTTCAGCTGCCCTCAGGTTTAGCAAAGGTCTGCTAAACAGCCATTCATCTGACATGGCTGCTGCTTCCAAACCTGGAAGGCCAGCGTTGGAGGCCCCTGATCCAGACCACTCATTGGGTTCATCGGTGGTCTGCATGTTGGTTCCTGCTTTAGGCCCATTTAACCTTTGAAATATGCAGCATGTTAGCTTGACAACATGTAGAAACCTGAGAACAGGCTGTGAAGATATATTCAACAGTTTTAACGTTTCCACTAAACAGCAGTATTTTTATTCTCAGATGGTCCTGATGCATAAAAACTCCCGAAAAACATAAAAAAATACTCATTATGGTGCGTTTGAGGATATATATATATATATAGAGAGAGAGATATACACTATATTGCCAAAAGTATTTGCTCACCCATCCAAATTATTGGAATCAGGTGTTCCAATCACTTCCATGGCCACAGGTGTATAAATTCAAGCACCTAGGCATGCAGACTGTTTTTACAAACATTTGTGAAAGAATGGGTCGCTCTCAGGAGCTCAGTGAATTCCAGCGTGGAACTGTGATAGGATGCCACCTGTGCAACAAATCCAGTCGTGAAATTTCCTCGCTCCTAAATATTCCACAGTCAACTGTCAGCTGTATTATAAGAAAATGGAAGTGTTTGGGAACGACAGCAACTCAGCCACGAAGTGGTAGGCCACGTAAACTGACGGAGCGGGGTCAGCGGATGCTGACGCGCATAGTGCGAAGAGGTCGCCAACTTTCTGCAGAGTCAATCACTACAGACCTCCAAACTTCATGTAGCTCAAGAACAGTGCGCAGAGAGCTTCATGGAATGGGTTTCCATGGGCGAGCAGCTGCATCCAAGCCATACATCACCAAGTGCAATGCAAAGCGTCGGATGCGGTGGTGTAAAGCACGCCGCCACTGGACTCTAGAGCAGTGGAGACGCGTTCTCTGGAGTGACGAATCGCGCTTCTCCATCTGGCAATCTGATGGACGGGTCTGGGTTTGGCGGTTGCCAGGAGAACGGTACTTGTCTGACTGCATTGTGCCAAGTGTAAAGTTTGGTGGAGGGGGGATTATGGTGTGGGGTTGTTTTTCAGGAGCTGGGCTTGGCCCCTTAGTTCCAGTGAAAGGAACTCTGAATGCTTCAGCATACCAAGACATTTTGGACAATTCCATGCTCCCAACTTTGTGGGAACAGTTTGGAGCTGGCCCCTTCCTCTTCCAACATGACTGTGCACCAGTGCACAAAGCAAGGTCCATAAAGACATGGATGACAGAGTCTGGTGTGGATGAACTTGACTGGCCTGCACAGAGTCCTGACCTCAACCCGATAGAACACCTTTGGGATGAATTAGAGCGGAGACTGAGAGCCAGGCCTTCTCGTCCAACATCAGTGTGCGACCTCACAAATGCGCTTCTGGAAGAATGGTCAAAAATTCCCATAAACACACTCCTAAACCTTGTGGACAGCCTTCCCAGAAGAGTTGAAGCTGTTCTAGCTGCAAAGGGTGGACCGACGTCATATTGAACCCTATGGATTAGGAACGGGATGTCACTTAAGCTCATATGTGAGTCAAGGCAGGTGAGCAAATACTTTTGGCAATATAGTGTATGTTGTCTAATAAACTGATGAGTGAAATAAAGGGAAATCCTGAATGTTTTAGCTGGATTAGATTAGATCTAAATGTTCTTGAATGTTCCAGTAAAGCTGGAACAGTCCTCAGTTTGACTTTAGGACTGTTTAGGACCGTCTGCCTGCCGGCCAAGTGAGGAGGCTTCTTCCACACGTCTGAGATGAGATCTGCCAACCAGTCAGTCTGTAAAGGCTGCTAAGCCCAAAGCCGGCCCTCTGGGGCCGCTGTCCTGCAGCTTTTAGAGCTGGATCCCGTCTTTTAGCTAAGTTATCTCCTGATAGCGAGTGCTAACGTTAGCTTCAGCCCAGTAGCTCCACAGTTGAACTAAATTATGGAGAACTGCTATCCTGACACGAGGCGTCTGCAGCAGCCAGTCCAGAATAAGCTGTAGTTAAACTTCATTTGTTCTGATGTTAGTGATCGGTGTGTTAGTCCTCCTTCCCATCATTCCCATCATTCCCATCATTCCCATAGTTCCCATCATTCCCATCATTCCCATGGTTCCCATGGTTCCCATCATTCCCATGGTTCCCATGGTTCCCATCATTCCCATGGTTCCCATCATTCCCATGGTTCCCATGGTTCCCATGGTTCCCATCATTCCCATGGTTCCCATGGTTCCCATCATTCCCATGGTTCCCATCATTCCCATGGTTCCCATGGTTCCCATCATTCCCATGGTTCCCATCATTCCCATGGTTCCCATCATTCCCATGGTTCCCATGGTTCCCATCATTCCCATGGTTCCCATCATTCCCATGGTTCCCATGGTTCCCATGGTTCCCATCATTCCCATGGTTCCCATCATTCCCATGGTTCCCATGGTTCCCATCATTCCCATGGTTCCCATCATTCCCATGGTTCCCATCATTCCCATCATTCCCATGGTTCCCATCATTCCCATCATTCCCATGGGTCCCATCATTCCCATGGTTCCCATCATTCCTAGAGAGCTTTCCTTCAGGTGAACAGAGACGTTTAGACAGACTAACCGGTGCTGCTGATGCAGCTCGGGTTAAAACCACGTCTGTCCGTCTCTGTGGGAAGGGTTGGAGGGTTTTATGTAAGGACAACAGAGAGACATTTCCAGCATCTCAGGAATGTCCAAATCAACGCCTCCGCATCATGTGACTCAGAGATGGTGGCATTCCTTGGTTCAGAGATAACCTTTTCTGAGCCTGACAGTAGAAACTCAGTCACCTGTTTGTAGCCGAAGCTCTGACAGGTGGATTAGGTTGGTTAGGACACACAGCGGGGCCTTTATCGTGTCTGAGCCGTCCCTAGCGGGGCCAGCAGAGGTCAGGCCTCCTTTCATTGAACCATCTGTCTGGTATGCAGAGGATGCCCCATTACCTGTCAATGCTGGGAGCCAGTACCCTGCTGGACCTGGCATTAGACTGACGGGCCAACAGCTACGGAGCTGACTCCCTCTGAAGGCTTCATTCCTCTCACAAACTTTCCTTTACGTCCATTTTATGCTGATCTCTGACTCGGTGGGAAGACCCCATCAGTCTGCAGCCTCTTTCCTGGGCTGGCATTGTCTCCTGCAGCCAATCTGTCTGCTTTCCTGCATGCTTAACATGCTCTGTGAGATGCTATCTGGTCAAGTGTCTGCTCTGGATTGTTTAAGGAGGCGGCCTAACAGAGGTTTTTGTCTCAGTCCTTTATTTGAACCATCAAACAGCTTCAAATCAGATTGTCACCTTAAAAAGCCGTCATTGCCTAATCCTCTCACCTCATTCCAGGTTGTCCTGCACCTCTGGCAGATGTGTTTGTGTGAGCCATAAACATTTCAGCCTGATCACATTGATGTTTGCTGGACTGTTTACCTCTGCTCTGCATATTTCTGTGGTGAAGAAGATGGCTGTGCACCAGGCATACGTGCACGCTCTATAAAAAGCAGGCTAACCAGCTAGCATTGTTCTCTCCAAGCTAACGTGGGTCAGCGCTCAGATCCCAGTTACCAGGAATGACTCTCTGATCCCAGTGTCTCCATCATTATGGGTCTTCAGCTTCATGCACTGATTTAAAATGTTCCATTTGTCATTTCTCTGCTTTTTAATTTGTACCAAATGAAGCTGGAGATGCGTCCGACCTGCTGGTTCCTGAACAACCAGAGGATGAAAAGCATCAGAGGGGATGGCACACTGTGTGAGAGGGTCGTTAACCTGAACCATGTTGGGACGGAGCTGTTTTCATCTGCTCTAGCCAGCATGGCCATGTTTCATTGTTTTCATGAAGGCCATTTTTATTCTTACTAGATGGGTTTTAATCATCGATTTAATGCTTAAGTATCGCATTAGAATCCGTCCATCTTCTTCCGCTTATCCGGGGTCGGGTCGCGGCGGTACAGCTTCACTAGGGAGGCCTAGACGTCCCTCTCCTCAGCCACCAGAACGCATTAGAATCATTCGATTAAACCAGATTTAACTAAAGGTTTGTTCTGTTTGGAGGATTGAACTGCTTCCTTTAGTTAAAATAATAATCCTTTGCATGACTGTTGGTTTTATTGTCCATGTCGTCTCTTACCTTCTCTGCTCTTTCATCTGCTGCTGTCTGCTCAGGTCCAAGACATGTGCTTCAGCCAGGACAGTCGCTGGGTAGCCATCAGCACCCTGCGTGGAACCAGCCACGTGTTTCCAATCAACCCTTATGGCGGCGCACCCTGCGCCCGCACCCACATGTCCCCACGGGTGGTCAACCGGATGTCACGCTTCCAGAAGAGCGCCGGCCTGGAGGAGATCGAGCAGGAGCTGAACAGGGCGGCCGCTGCGGGTGGAGGAGGAGCCGGAGGCATTGGAGGGAGCAGCTGCATTCTGGGTGGAGGAGGCGGCGTGGGCGGCCGCTGCAGTCCCGTACCTGGCGTGTCCAGCAGCCCCTCAGGGTCTCCGCTGCACGGTAAGGAGCAGAGAGGAACGTTTCTTTTTCTCAGCCAGGTTCTCCCACAGCATCAGCTGCAGAAAATGTTGGTTATTCAGAGTCTAAGAACCAGATGATGGTGAAATAATCTGGATGCTGTGGTGTCCTCGCTCCTTAGCCACACCACCAGCTCAGCAGAACACTCCATTACTAATGCTGATGCTCTACAGCAGAGGTCAGGGATTAGCCGACCGCGGTCCGGATCCAGACCCAACTGGATTTAAAACATTTATAAATTACCGCATGATGACCAACGGCAGTGTCTAACTTCACTTGCTCCTCTTCTCCTGTTAATACGGTAAAGCCCTGGGGAGCGTCCGGCTCCAGGCTGCACGTGATCCAAATGAGCCAATGAGCTGTCAGTCTGGGTTGCTGCTGCTGCTACTTTTAGACACAGCAGGCAAACCTGTGGCAAGCCGGGCGATGGGAAAGAAGGAGAAGACCATGAGAAAAAGAGAGCAGAGAAAGTGTGGACTGCTGGAAGAACTGCGGTGAACTGGTGAAAGAAAAGTGAAATGGTGCTCAAAGATGACCCTGCACATTTAGAGGATGTTTGGCTCAACCTGCTGCTGTGAAGCAGGATTCTCCACCATGAACAGAATCAACAATAAATCTGGATCCAGGCTCAAAATGAGCTCCTTGATATGTGCTTGAGAATGGCTTAGTCTCCGGTTAAACCCAGGTTTAAAGCCTTGCAGGGCAGCCTAAAGCCCACTGCCAACATTAAGACAGAAAAAAGAAAGAAAATAACAAACCATCAGTTCAGGGGTTTGAGAAAATATGGGAATCAGGAAATTATCTATAAACCAAACTGAACGATTGTTGTTCTCTACCTAAAAAAAACACTTTAGATTTTAAAATGGAAAAATGTTGTATTACTTTTTTTTTATTTAAAAATTCAATGTATAACATTGATGCATTAACATCTGCATTTCATTCAGAGCTAAATTCTGTTTTAACAGATTCTAAGTATAAATGTCTCCTTTACTGGTTGATGGTTTTCTTTAACTGGTTACCACTGCTGTAAACAGAGAGCTGCAGATGCTCCACTTTTCCCTGTTGGTAACGATAATTGACTGTTTCACCACAGTTAACTAAATCTTTCTCTGTCCATGAAAGAAAAGAGTTTTCTTAGTTTCTCCTCTGGTTGATTTCTGTGGGTTTCTGCTGACAGAGATCACGCCTGGCTAGCCCCTCCCACGGCAGCCATCTTGGTGACTTTGCTCTTATATGTAGCCGCTTCTTCAGCTTCCTTTGATCAGAAACTAACCTGGTGGCTTTTCTGATTGAGGCAGAGGAGTGAAATCATTGATCGCTCTGAGTTCAGCGTCTTCAACCAGCAGTGAGTGCTTCTGTGAGCCCCCCCCTCCTCAAAACACTGACAGCCAGAGCAGAGCGACTGTTTCAGTCTCACAGAGCTTCCTGTGATGCTGTAATAATCAGCCTACTCTGATTCAACCGGGTTTTATTCAGGCAGCAGGTTCTGCTGCTGCAGGATGGGGGGGGTTCTGCTCAGCGACCCCCCCTGCAGGCAGATCTCCTGATCATGGATCATGATGCGGATGCCCATGGTGGCTATCAGAAGCGATCGTTCCACGGTGTCCATGAACGCGCCTGAGTGGGCGTTTCCACTCACTTGGACTCTGTCCGTCTGTCAGCCGTCTGTGTGGCGAGGCGTCACAGACACACTGATACCGCCGTGGTCGGTGCCAACCGCCCTGCGTGACCCAGAGGTGTCAGTCAGTGTAAAATATCACAGTTCTCATCAGCGATTGGCTTCCAGGAATAACCCTGAGCCGTGGGGTCTGTAAACACTTCAGAGAACGAAGCTGCAGGACTTTCCACCAGCAGAGGCTGTTTGCTTCCTCACTCTGTAGACACTTCAATGGGGGGGGGGGGTCATTGATTGATATTTAGCTCATAGAAGTTGTTGCATCAACGTTTCCTTAGAAATGTTTTTACAGCTGATGGTGAGGCGGCCTTGGAGTGGTGGTGTCATCGCTACACTGAGGGGCCCGTGATCCAGACCCCACAGGGCTCCTCATGGGGCCCCCTCCCTAAGACCACTCGCCTGTTAGGCTTTTATTTCTATGCACTTTCGGGAGTATTTTATTTTGAAAAACCTTGAAAAAATTTCTTTCCATCCTTTCCAAACTGTACTCTCCTGGTTCAGACTTCGCACAGAGGGACCGTCAGACATGAGTGGCCCCGCTACATCAAAGGGAGGGATGGGGGGGCAGGTGAAAGTGAACGAGCAAAATAATGAGGTGCAACTGAGGAAAAACAAGAGATTTGGTCTAAAGAAGGAGGGAGAGATAAGTCTGAGATGTACAGCTCCTAAATCACTCTCTGGTTTCAAAGGGAAGCTTTAAGGCCACCTGTCAGCAATTAGTCTGGACAGGGACGGGGGGGGGGGCGTCTTTGTTTGAGCTCCTCACAAACATCCTCATCACTGTTTTCATGGCTGGAACATGTTTATATGTCAGGTTTTCCTCCTGCCTGGTCCCAGTTTGAAGCAGCTCATCCCATTCAGGCAGACTGGTCTGTAACTGGTGCTGAGATGGTCTCCTCCAGCCCCGCCCCCCGCCTTGATGAAAACACCATCATCTCAGCGGACGGAAACCCACCGGGTCACGTTTGCTCCTGTGTGGACTTTCCTGCTGTTTTTGTGATCTGGGTGTGAACTGAGTGCAGCTAAGGCGTTTCTCCTGCAGGCTGGCAGCGAGCGGCGGGGTGGGGACGGCCCGCCTAGCCACAACAGCTGCGCTCTGATTGTCGCCAACAAGGACGGCGTTGATTTTGGGGAAGGAACTGTAGAAAAGTACACATCCTCCTGAGAGCTGCCAGAGGCAGAGCTAAAAATAGAGGCTGCAATTGGCTGTCGCCTTGTCACTGTTAAAATCAGGACGGCTATTTGTGTCCCTGGATACGGTTTCTGAGCCCTGTGGTTTTTCCCCGAAGCCTTCCTTTTGTGTGATCGATGTATTGTTTTTGAGGCGATGACCCATCATGTGAAGCCTGCTTTGTTTGGGAGCCAGAGCACACAGGGCTAGATTAGTGGGTGCAGGTTGGTCAGAGGTCAGAGGTCATGGAGGCAGCTTCTGATTCACATACAGTGAGATTCACAGTCCTGCATCAGTCAGGATCAGTTTGTTTGAAACTTTCCTGAGATTCTACTACTGGCTTTCCTTCAGGAGGGTGGAGGGCCTCCTTTCCATCACGCTAATCTTTAGCTCCAAGAAGACTGTTTCCAAACCTTCCTCTCTGCTCCTAACAGTTCAACTGTTTTTTAGGAAGCTTCCAGTGGGTCGGGTCGGCCACCGCCCTCCATCTGGGGCACGCAGTCTTTAGCTAACATAGAGGAGATACCAGCAGCGTTGGTTAAACCACCATTTGGTTGGCTTGGTCTCCACCGTCTGTCTGGGGCCTGCTGTTTTTAGCTAACATAGAGGAGATACCAGTAGCGTCGGTTAAACCACCATTTGGTCGGCTTGGTCTCCACCGTCTGTCTGGGGCCTGCTGTTTTTAGCTAACATAGAGGAGACACCAGCAGCGTTGGTTAAACCATCATTCGGTCGGCTTGGTCTCCACCGTCTGTCTGGGGCATGCTGTTTTTAGCTAACATAGAGGAGATGCCAGCAGCGTTGGTTAAACCACCATTTGGTTGGCTTGGTCTCCACCGTCTGTCTGGGGCATGCTGTTTTTAGCTAACATAGAGGAGATGCCAGCAGCGTTGGTTAAACCACCATTTGGTCGGCTCGGTCTCCACCGTCTGTCTGGGGCCTGCTGTTTTTAGCTAACATAGAGGAGATACCAGCAGCGTTGGTTAAACCACCATTTGGTCGGCTCGGTCTCCACCGTCTGTCTGGGGCCTGCTGTTTTTAGCTAACATAGCGGAGATACCAGCAGCGTTGGTTAAACCACCATTTGGTCGGATCGGTCTCCACAGTCTGTCTGGGGCCTGCTGTTTTTAGCTAACATAGAGGAGATACCAGCAGCGTTGGTTAAACCACCATTTGGTCTGCTCAGGCTCCACCGTCTGTCTGGGGCCTGCTGTTTTTAGCTAACATAGAGGAGATACCAGCAGCGTTGGTTAAACCACCATTTGGTCGGCTCGGTCTCCACCGTCTGTCTGGGGCATGCTGTTTTTAGCTAACATAGAGGAGATACCAGCAGCGTTGGTTAAACCACCATTTGGTCTGCTCGGGCTCCACCGTCTGTCTGGGGCATGCTGTTTTTAGCTAACATAGAGGAGATACCAGCAGCGTTGGTTAAACCACCATTTGGTCTGCTCAGGCTCCACCGTCTGTCTGGGGCCTGCTGTTTTTAGCTAACATAGAGGAGATACCAGCAGCGTTGGTTAAACCACCATTTGGTCGGATCGGGCTCCATCGTCTGTCTGGGGCATGCTGTTTTTAGCTAACATAGAGGAGACACCAGCAGCGTTGGTTAAACCACCATTTGGTCGGATCGGGCTCCACCGTCTGTCTGGGGCATGCTGTTTTTAGCTAGCATAGAGGAGATACCAGCAGTATTGGTTAAACCATCATTTGGTCGGATCGGGCTCCACCGTCTGTCTGGGGCATGCTGTTTTTAGCTAACATAGAGGAGATACCAGCAGCGTTGGTTAAACCACCATTTGGTCGGCTCGGTCTCCACCGTCTGTCTGGGGCCTGCTGTTTTTAGCTAACATAGAGGAGATACCAGCAGCGTTGGTTAAACCACCATTTGGTCGGCTCGGTCTCCACCGTCTGTCTGGGGCCTGCTGTTTTTAGCTAACATAGCGGAGATACCAGCAGCGTTGGTTAAACCACCATTTGGTCGGATCGGTCTCCACAGTCTGTCTGGGGCCTGCTGTTTTTAGCTAACATAGAGGAGATACCAGCAGCGTTGGTTAAACCACCATTTGGTCTGCTCAGGCTCCACCGTCTGTCTGGGGCCTGCTGTTTTTAGCTAACATAGAGGAGATACCAGCAGCG